AAGTCCTGCATGCATTTCAGTTGGACTTTGGTCTTCGCTCTCAATCTAGAGAGATTAAAGAGCTTTCCATCTGATCTAGTCCGGAGATAGACACCGTCTGCTGCAGTTCCAAAGGCATGCTTCGGCATGACAGCAAAAAAGCTCCCAAACAGGGTCTGCACGAGGACACAGCCCTGTTTCACTCCGGTTCAGATATCAAAGGGATCTGATGTTGAGTCATCAAAACTACAGTGCTCTTCATTTCCTTATGAAAGGACCTGATGATGTTAAGGAGTGGAGGTGGGCATCCAATCTTGGGAAGTATTTTAAAAAGTCTATCCCTGCTAACCAAATCAAAGGCCTTTGTGAGATCTATGAAGGCCACAAGGAGGGGCTGTCGTTGTTCCCTACTTTTCTCCTGCAACTGTCTGAGGGAGATTACCATGTCAGTGGTGGATCTATTAGCTTGAAATCTACATTGTGATTTTGGATAGACTCTGTCTGCAAGCACCTGGAGTCTCTTCAGTACAACACGGATAAACAGCTTCCCAACAATGCTGAGAACAGAGATATTATGGTAGTTATTGAAGTCGCCCATGTCTCCTTTGTTCTTATTCAATGTGACAATGTTTGCATCCTTCATGTCCTGTGGTACTCTACCTTCCTTCTAGCAAAGACGAAAGACTTCATACAGGTGGTGATGATCTCTTTACAGCACTTCAACAGGATGTTATCCTTCCCAGGTGCCTTGCCGGAGGCGAGGGAATCCAAGGCCGCTTTTATTTCTGCTGAAGTTGGTTTCCTGTCCAACTCTTCCAAGTCAGGCAGGCACTCGTTGTGATTTAATGCCTCTCTGGTTACTACATTATCTCTGGAATACAGTTCAGAGTAGTACTGTACTCAGAGTTCCCTCTGCTGTGCTCGGTCCTGGATGATCACGGCTGTAGCAGACTTCAAGGGAGCAGATTTCTTCTGTATTGGACCTAAAGCCTGCTTGATACCGTCATACATTCCCTTGATGTT